CTGGATTAAAATGTCAGCTCTGTGCTTTAAGGAAAAACGCAACAAGAAGAAGCTTCGTCTTAACGGTCACGAATAAGCTCATTTACGTTACAAACTACACATTACAACAGAAGAAGGTCGTGACATATACACAATATACTTACTTTTATTAACTAAAGACAGAAATGTAATTTGCCACCACAATTCTTATATATTTCCGCCCTTGTTTTATCTAATTTCCTCACGGACAGTGATGTGCAACTAGCGAACAAGATAACGGGTGCTGCGTCGTTTTTTGCGAATGTCTGCCAATACACCCGGGACTTAATGGTATTCGTACACATCTAAGATGTATAAAATGAATGTCACACAGGAAACGTCCTCACTTACAGGAATTCTTGTTTTGCAGTTGGAATACACTCGCTCACAGCAACGTAGGGCGGCGACCGGGCGCATTGGTTGTCGTAGAGCCGACCAGTGTTTGACAGTTACAACCAGGAAGCAAGGCTGTCTTTGACTGATACCGTACAAAGCCAATAAGAACGCACTACTTGGTCCTTAACGACCAATTACGTTTTACAGAAGGCGGTAATAGATCAGAGAGGGCGTGGCTGTGTGGCACAGGCTTTTCATGTTTCTTCAAGATGATAGTAAAGAGGTGGAGAAAAGCACCAGCTGTCGTTTTCTTCTTCTCACTGTCTTAAAGGAAAAGTAGGCACCCATTCTATGTTATCGTCACTACCCTTTTCCACAGTAGGGGGTGCTATAAACACATTTGTAATGCCCTGGTATAGGAATGTATATATGAACTGGAAAGACCTCTACAAGGCCTCTAATTATTCCCTTTTAAACGCTTTTGCTGGTTTTGAAAGATAACTGTTTATAGGCTAGCATATATAGATCTGTGTGAAATAAGACCAGTTTTGTCAACGATGGGAATCTCTGGCTACCTTTATATTTGCTTCAGTGACAATAATGTGGCCAAAGATTAGGTCTATAATATTATTTTAGAACGATAATGAAACGGTTTTAATAAAACACAGATTAATAAACATAATAAGCTTGTTTAAAAGCCACATTAAATAACCCAATAATTTTATAGCCTCAACATTTAATAAAGCAAATGGAGCATCATATCCATTTTGACACTTCTACATGTTCAAATATCTGATGGAATTCTTTGGAAGAATATAAACAAACAATTAAAAAATAAGTTAATTAAAAAAAAAGAATATTTCACATCAACTGATGATAATGTATTGGAGTGCAATACATGTGGAATATGTATGTGGAAGGGGCAAGTTATACAAAAATAGCGTCAAATCTTTAACAATCAAACTGCATCCCACTGTGGGATATGAAACTCCCCAACGTGGGAATGTACATTTCCGACAATGGTGCAAAAATGCAAAAACTATTCTATTATTTTGGAAACAACTTGAATTGCCTTTCATTACACTTAGAAAGCTAGGCATTTTGAAACATTTTTAACACAAAGTTAAAGTTTTGTTTACACAAAAAAATGCGATACAGAATATAAACATGAAACAATGTTCAATTCAATCCATATGTATTAAGTCAACAGGAGCAAATCTTTTCAACCAAAATCATTGCCATGTAGTACTTTTCTTAGTTTCTTTAAATTGTGGTTAAAACTTAAACTTTTGTCTGCTAAACATGCATCAGGGCTGTACAAATATGTCAACACCTAATAGCCGCGTCCCTCGTTATTTACGAATTCACGCGAAAATCAGAAGATCTTCCGCAAATCGACTCCTCCCAAATGCTATTTGCGTAATTGCGCAACCTGTGCCAGGCGCAATTACGCACAGAAAAGGGAGAGTCGATTTCACGGACTGTCAATCTGTCTGTGAGCAAAGACTCTTCATTGTTCAACACACAGCTGGGTGGTCTTTTTCAGACCGCTGTTGGTGAAGCTCACATGGAATCGATTCTCGCCTTGTTTCTTCACTGGGCGGATTTTTAAGGTATGATTCCTTCATTTTGTCTTTGGCGTTGTGTAGTGCGCAACTTGCTGAAATAACTCTGATTTGTTTCTTTTTTTTTAAACCAGGAAAACATAATAAAAATTAATCTTCCGCAGCGTCAGTCAACAACAGGCTCAAGGTAAACACTTGAAAGATCTGAACATTGTCTCTGCATGCAATAAAGGATTATTTTATGCTTACATTTTTTAAAATAATTACTTTGTAAATTGTTTATTGGTCATGTTGATCATATTAGAGCCAAATGTTTTGTTTACTATGATAATAGTAATATTAAATATCATGTCTATATGTCTTTCGTCATAAAATATAAAATTATGTCTTCCAAGGAAAAACGCGGAAAAACTAATTTTATTGCAAAATAATAAGGCATATAGGAAACATTCTGATTTTTATGCATTTTTCTCAACTTCTTCATTGAAGACTTTTTTCTTTAAGAAAAACACATCACCTCTTCTGAATTAAAGTTAACATTTGAACTTTCCTCCAATAAAGTAGTGAGTTATTAATTTTAAAATTCTGTTTTAAACTAAGTATTATCACTGGGATTGTGATCTCATGAATTCAGGATTATTCTGTTTTTTTCAAAAACACATCCTAGAAATGAGATAAAGATGTTTTTACCTCAATCTCATAATTTTTTATAATTGATTTATCTGTTTTGAATGGAAATATTTACAAAAATAGTCAGAAACACAAGCAGTTTGCGGTGTAAAAGTCAGTATTCTGAAAAACAAAAACAAGACTCCCGTGATTCAGATGTCAAAAGGTCAGAGTTTTAGTAATTTAGTAATAGTAATATTGATTTTCTGGCTCTAATGTCACAATCCCGACACCAAAGTCTTGTCCACTGAGACTGAACCTCACCCTCTGATCATGTCTGCAGGGACAATGCCGTGTGTCCACACCCAGTGCGGCTCCTCTCCTCCAGGAGCCAGCCCCGCTTCCCAGAGCGCTGAAGCAGAGCGCGGCTGCGGCTTCCTCACTCCAGAATTTGTCAAGTTCAGCATGGATCTTACCAACAGCGAAATCTCTGCTGCGTCGTCCGGCTCAACTTTCGGAACTCCTACGGACTCCTGCACCCCTGGCTACGACTTAAAGCCTCCCTGCCCCTTCCAGACCACGGTCCAGGGGGATCTCCCGTGCGTAAAGGTGGAGGATGCGCACGGGTGTCTGCGGTACCAATCGAATCATCTTCCTCCGCACCATTCCGAAGATCTCTCCTCTTCCTCCTCTCCGAGCTCCGTCTACTACTATCGCCCCTCTTCGCCGTCCAACTTCCAAACGCCAGGTGCGCACATCTGGGATGATTCCAGCTCCCTTTACAGTTTTCGACAGGACTATTTGGCGGCGGCGCAGAGGAAAAATGCACTGTGCAGGTTTTCGCTGTTGTCCCTCAAACACGCACAAGAGCGCAGCGTGACCTTTGACGGATCTCTCCATGTGTCCATGAACCTGGACACCTCTGCTGGTACACACGGGCATATGGACAGTTCTGGTGGAGTTCTAGGGACACAGCTCGCGACGGGTTTCCCTCAGCCACTGCACTTCGCCCACGGTCACCCGTTCGTGGAGTACCAGACCTGTGGCGGCCATCGAGGAGGAGCAGGAGGTGCGCTGAGCGCGGAGAGGTTGTGCGCAGTGTGCGGGGATAACGCAGCCTGTCAGCATTACGGCGTCCGCACGTGCGAGGGCTGCAAGGGCTTCTTCAAGGTTTGTTTTCGGTACAGTCTTAATTAAACATGGCTGAAAGAAAGTTCAAATGCTATCGGGTTCACGGTGAAAAAGTTGAATTCAGCTTCTTTACCATGAATTAGGGATGAAACACAAATAAAAGTACACAGACAAGCTGGAAGGATATTTATTCCTACGAGTAGATTATAATTTAAAGTTCCCTCTGGGATTTCTCCTTGACCTCCTAAATTGGACATTATACTTCAAATACACGCCCTCCTTGATCCCTTGACGCTTTACGTTTTTAGGGGCAAATGTCATGTATGAAAATGGCTACAGACGTGCCACGAATAGAAACATCTCCTTTCTGGATTCTGAAGAAGAGTCCCTGGTGATTCTCCAAATTATGACTGACCACGAGCTCGTATTTACCCAGACTACCCTGAATGTCTTACACTCCAGCCCCAGGCTGGCCCACTGGGGTAAGACTGCTGCTAATCATTTAAAAAAAAAGGGAATCCTGACATGTGAAATAATTTCATCAAGGGAACTTGTAATGAAAAGCTGTGTCTAATAGGAGAAATAGGTTCTTCATTCAATTTTATAGAAAAATGTGAAGACTCTTTCATCCACCTCGATTTCTTTGAAGATTTCTGCCTTTCTCCTAAACTCCAGGCAAACGTTATTCTAAGAACAATTTATTATTATTATTATTAATAATAACAATATTTAAGGAAATATAAAGCCTTTAATTTTTAATAGAGGATTTTCTGTGAAAAGTCAGATTTCCCTGTTCAATTACGGTTAAAACATGTTGTTGCCAAAAGTAATTATTACCATAAAATGAAATTCTTTGAGAAACTGATATAAAAACGACATAATTCTAAACAATAATTCAATTTTTTCGGTGAAAACCATCCTAACCATCCAAAACCTTGCATAAATCCTTGAAGTGTAATAAGACCCAGAGATGAACTTAAGTGCATGAAATCGTGCTCCCACTATTACATGATTGTAACAAAGTTCTGTTCTCCTCAAGCGCACAGTGCAAAAGAATGCCAAGTACGTGTGTTTGGCTGCCAAAAGTTGCCCTGTGGACAAACGCAGAAGGAACCGTTGCCAATACTGTCGCTTCCAGAAGTGTCTGGCAGTGGGAATGGTCAAAGAAGGTAAATTCACACCTTAAAAAAGAAATCAGCTTCTTTTTTATGCACTGACTTCAAACATCATCTATTGAACGGGTCGACCCTGCAGTGTTGGAGATTTGATGCAACTGCGACCCAGTCTTGATGTCAGAGTTACGACATCGTTAAAAGGTTCTGTTCAGTTTTTAACAAGGATGTTTGAAATTACACTGACAAATTTGAAGCCACAGTGATGTCACAACAACATGCCAAATAGTTACCAAAATGCCTTACAATTCAAAATGGCCCACATCCTTTGTATTTTTTACCAGATTTGGTGAACAGATGACAAACTGTTTTTTGGGTCTAACAGCATGGGTTTGTCAGAATCCATTTTTGTCCAATTTAGGCCAATTTATTAATTTTTTTTAATTCAAAAAATACTTGCATGCAATGTTTACCTGGTGTTTTCTTTTGCCAGTTGATGGCACTATGACTATGATTTCATAAGGTTTTATATTGTGGTTAGACCAGGTCTTTTAAACATGCACGTTGACATTTTATACAATAGTTAAAACAGTTTAGTTAAAAAATCCCTGCAGAATGAGCCACAACATCAAATTAATTATTTTAAAATAATTTCAAAATGTTTATTTCGTTGTTGTGTTCAGCACATGGTTTTTAAGGGTGTACCGATTTGAAGCCAAATCATTTCTTGACATTAACTTGAGGGGCTTTTTTCAGTGACTTTACCAAATGCATTGAAGAAAAATCCCTTCTCAGTTTTGTTTACATTTCTTACATTAGAGTTTAAGGAGTTTATTTTCTGCATATCCAGCACTTCAAACCTATAACTCTTCTTAATGAAGCAGGAGATCAACGGGATGAAGAACAACAACAATCGCTGAAAGAACTGAAGCATCCTAGCATCTGTTATTGCTTGGGTTGTATAAATTCAGAATTGGTGAGTTATCAGTGGTTTCCACCTTTATTCCCCATTTTCTTCAGTGGTGAGGACAGACAGCCTAAAAGGTAGAAGAGGTCGCCTTCCATCTAAACCCAGAATCCTTCCAGACTCATCTTCATCCATCAACACCCTCCTGAGTGCCCTTGTTAGGGCGCATGTAGAGTCAAACCCTCAACCGTCTCACCTTGACTACTCTAAAGTAAGCAGACTGATGGAGAGCTGCTATCCAAACAGAATACATGAGCTTTCTCCGTTCACTCAACGGGTTTTGCTGTAGTTCCAGGTAAAACCTGGAAGTCCTTTGGGAGATGATGCACAGCACGTCAGGAAGTTTTATGATCTTCTGACGAGCTCGATGGAGGTGATTCGTGGTTGGGCACAGAAGATCCCTGGCTTCACCTCCCTGCCTAAACACGACCAGGACCTCCTCTTCTACTCAGCCTTTCTGGAGCTTTTTGTTTTACGGCTCTCGTACAGGTAATGTATGGACCTAACCCTAACACCACAAGCTGGTGTGTTCTCAATGACAAACTTCATCCTTTGTGTTTTAGATCCAACCCTAATGAGGGGAAACTAATCTTCTGTGATGGCTCGGTGTGGCACAGACTCCAGTGCACAAGAGGCTTCGGGGAGTGGATTGACAGCATTGTTGAATTTTCCGCCAAACTGCAAAAGATGAACATGGACATCTCCACCTTTTCCTGCATATGTGCCCTCGCCTTGGTGACCGGTGAGAAGCTCAGAAACAATAGGTTTAAAGACATAATGATTGCAAAGGTGCTTTAACACAAAGCACAAATCTAATCAGATCATTCCCTCTTTTGGAATTTTTATATTTAATTGTTTAACGTCTTAGAGACGTCCTAGATAAGAAGTTACATGTCTCTTCTTGTCGCTGGAGCTATTTGAGACCATTATCAGTGAAGCCACGGAATGTATTTAGTTTGAAGAAGCTCAGTAGGCTGGACTGGATTTGTTTTTGATTTTTTTTGAAGATGTTTCACCTGTACTCTAAGAGTTCAGTTTTCTCTTGTTTACATTTTTTACAGTAGTACTTTCAGTTATATAAATACCTCATCTAGCCACTGTGCCATGAAGGAGAAAATAAGAGAAATTGGCATAGTAAGTGGTAGGACGTAGCGTATTTAGCGCTAAGACATTAGCTTGTTGAGCGATATGGTGCGCCTTCAGTGGTTTGATTAAATTGCTGGTATTGTGACAGAACAAACCTTACAGTGAGTCTTACTCCTGTCTTCATCCCTGTTGTTAACCTCCTAAGTGCTGACAGTGTTGACCTTCTCACATTAACAACACTGGCTGAACCGTGGGCAGGTTGTCAGTGTTAAAAGCCATTATAAATGATCAGCACATGTTTTCAAGTGTGTTTGAATGAAGTATCAGGCTCTGAAACTGATACCAGCTTTGATACATAGCACAGGATCCCTCACCTAAGAATGGTCCACTCCTAAAATTGCATTTCCTAGTAGTAACTGCTTGTGTTCTAGCAGTTATTGCACAAATTTTGTTCTCAACTTAAATATCACACTACATAGATAAACCTCGTATAAATTGTTAATGGTAGGATTTCTTTATGCAAATTGAATTCATGTTTTAGTGACGCTTATGTGCTCAGTCTGCATGTCTTAAAGATTCCTCGCGTGATATAAATGCACTGAAGAGGTCCTTAAAAAAATCCATGTTTTTCATTCATTTTCAGAAGTTGTTCATTATGACACACATTATCGTGTTATACAAAGGGTGGACAGATAACTGAAAACAACCGTAATTCAATTTTTTTCTCTGAAAAATCCCATTCTATGGTCCACAGAGCGACACGGTCTTAAGGAGCTGAAGAAAGTGAAGGAGCTGCAGGACAACATTGTCAGTTGTTTGAAGGACAGCGGGACGTGTGGAGACAGCAGGTCAGACTGTTGGTCTGACCATTTGTCCAGACCTTTGAAGAAGCTGCCCGAACTGCGCACTCTGTGCATCCAAGGCCTGCAGAGGATTTTCTACCTGAAGCTGGAGGATCTGGTGCCTCCACCTGTAGTAATAGATAAGTTATTCCTTGACACACTGCCGTTTTAGAGGTGACAAAGAAGAGACAACACTCATGGCAGCTTTGGGTTACTTTATTTCATTCCTCAAAAATTAAATTATGTTAAAATCCAACAGCAGCAAGGATTTGCTTGACGAATAAGTGTGTTTCCACTGAACTCGTGTTCCCAATTCTAAGTCCACAAGTCAAAATGTGACACATTTTGTTAAAGGAATGAGATAATCACCACAATCATGATTACGGTATGGTCCATACTTCTGTAGATAGATTATTTAGATAAGTTCCTCATTAGTTGTAGATACTTTCTTAAGAGAGATGAGGAGAGAATCACTTTAAGTTTGCTACTTCACACGGTGTTGCCACCGTGAAAATCTGCACCGAGAGTTTTTAATACAGGATGCCCTTCTTGGAGCAACACAGCCTGGGATTGGCGGACTAGGTGGAACCCGGAGCTTTCTGCTGCACTGATATTATATTTTCTCATTAAAATGAGATAGTGTTTAACTATTTTTAGATATTGTATCTTATGATATGATGTTACATCTTATTACGAGCTAATGTCCTGTCACCCTGAGTGTCTTATAACCATGAAAGACCATAAAAATACATGGTTTTTATAGTTTCTTGTTATTATGACACTGTCATATGTATTTTCTTTGACATAGCTTTTGAAATTAAAGGAATAGTTTCAAATAATTATGATACAGTTCCTCATAATAATATGATTACATCACATTATTTTGAAATGTTCTTTTAATTACAATAAGCCTGTCACTATTTTGAGATAGTTTAACATAACTTAAATGTTATGTCACAATTTATCATTAGATAATACAAATAAACACATACATGTAATGTATGTATATATAAATATACAGTATATGTATATACATATATAGTCCCTCATTTTTGACTTGTAGATTTTAGATTATTTTACAGTTTATGGGTAAAAATGTGTTTCAGTAATTTTCAGGACAAAATGTACGAGTAAAATGAGAAAAGATTATTGGGAATAACACTGTTTGATATTTCAGTAGACCTGAATGTAGTTAAATTAAAAGCATGGTGATGGCTATTAGTTTAATTCATTTGTTTTCTAACTCTGTGGTTATTGCAGGGTAAAGCTGTGGATTTGACAGGTAAGGTCTGTTTCAACCCCTTTATTGTGCTCCCCTGATTCTATACAGACAATATTTGTGCGTCATATTTTGTTATGATTTTTGTAACAGAACTCTCATTATTGTGATATAGTAACACACAGTAGTCAGTCTAATTTCATGGTGCTGTGTTTTCGTATACTGATGTTGCCGTTAATTTAATAAATAAATGACCTGCAGCTACTGGATTTTAATTCATGAGGTTCTTTATTATTTTTCTCTCTCACACAAAATGATATAAAACCATTTAAACTAGGCTGAGGACCGTCTGATGGACAAAATAACTATTAATGATAATCTGGGAAGGATTTCTATCACATCTTTTTCAATACACTTTATTTAAAAATGTTTTGTCCTTGCTTTCATAGGCTAAAAAGATGTTTTTAATAACATTACCTGGAAACACAGCAAAAAGGAAATTACGCTATCCTCATTAGCCAATGGAGACAGATGAGCAGATGCAGGATGGATTAATCTGTGGTCACTCAGAATGTAAAACAACTGACTCTGGGTTTTTTTCTTTTCATTGGCAGGAAATATTTGATTAATGTGTTCAATGCACAAAACTCCAGAGGTTTATTAGTGATGCTGATCAATACTGGATGCTGTTCATTGGCCCAGTCTGTGTGTGAGGCTCAGATAGAAATGAATCAATGACTGTATCTGAGAAGTGTCCCTTTTGGTTTGACCATGGTGGTGCTGATTTAAAGACAGGGATGTTGAGAGAATGACAGGATATTGAACAGCAACAAATAAACTTTAATATATCATAGTAAGGACTTGTGGTAAATTTGTTTTGAGCACAGTGACAGAGCAATTTATATTAAGATGAGTAGTCATCAGTGTACTCCTGCCCCGAAAAGAATATAAAATATCTCCCAAAGTAAAGTGCTGCTGTGGTGGTTGTGTCATCTGCTAAAACATGTACTAATCTTACATCTAATTGTGAACAATTGTAGGACATTTTGTTAATTGAGGGACATGCATTACATGGCTCATTACCCTGGACCAATCAAAAATAGCAGAAAACAAGAACAAGGTGAAACATTGTCAGGGAGTCTGGAACTGCAATAACTTCGCAACAACAGAGACATCTGTTGCTCCCCACACCAGTGTTTCTAAACCTTTTTGAGCCACTTTAGGATCATACAACCAAACTAAAATGTCACTAAAAGGATATGCCATGTTTTACAATGATATCCTAGTTTCATTTTTTTCAACAATCAGTTTACTCTAGCCTGTTTTGTTGAACACAAAGATAGAGTATACTCACATGAATTGAGGAAAGACAAGATCTTCTGTAAGTCTCTCTCTTTCTTTTTTGTAGTCATTCACTGTCCTCTATTGGAAGAGTATTTAAATGGTTGGGAATCACTGTCCTACAAGCCATGAGTTCCCTGTGTCCTTTGACTGAACTGTTTCTGAAAAAAGTTACATTTTATCATTTGTACTTTCTGAAGGTATGTTACAGTACAAAACACTACATGCACATCAACAAAGTAACTTGGTATTCTATGTAACACTTTGTAGTGCTAGTGTCGTCCACAGAATTTCCTTTTCTTCAGCTAGAAGTGCATCTCCATTCTGGGTGAGGAGACGGACGCATTGTTACAAGCAGAAAAAAAACAAAAGCTCAAATTGTCTTCAACCAAAAATGTTTCTGTTTTTGGTGCCGGTATTAAACACATGCTGTTTCTGTTTTAAGAATTCAAGCTGCAGTGATATTACTGAGGCACCAGGTGGCAGCCTCCATAAATTAAGCCCTACGCACACAGTACATATTAAACTCACTAAAAAAAAAAAAAAATTACACTCTATGGTAATAAACCGTCCTGATTTTTATTTTCATCAAACAAAAAACATTGATCTGTTTGGGCGGTTCATGGTAACACTGGCTGTTTTTTTAGGCTGTCGGCTGTTGACATGTGTTGACGTATTGCACCAGCATCAACAACTTTATCTGAAGAGCATGATTTTTTGAGATCCCCCCCCCAAAGGATGTGGTGACTTTGATCTCTGCATCCATCCAGCTTCAATACAGCTTAAGCCTTATCACTGGCAGACCAGACAGCAGGCATCAGGACAGATTAATACACAGACCCCCCCCACTCCCCCCACACACTTTTAACATGTAATCCATTACAGATTATTACAGATTTATGATTAGATGCTTCAACCGCTCAAAAGTATTATGACATAAAATGTTCTCAGACCAATGATCTTCCTAGATTAGAATTTCTTCTGCCGCTAAAAAGAACTGTCATTTTTTTCTGACAAAATGCTAATCAATTTCTTGCCGGACAATTTCATTCTTAAAAGTTTAACATTATACAAAAACAATAACAGACACAAAGTTATGGAGAATATATTTAGATATAGATTCTGAGAGAAAATATAAAAATTGAAGGATAAAAACATACCAATGATATCTACAATGACAAGGAATATAAGAATATAAAATAAAAATAGATAGATAAATATACATACAAAAGGCGTTGATACGTACTAAAGAAAGTAATAAAACATGCAATCAAATATGAATAGTAAACCCAAGTACAAGAGATTTATGCATATTTATCAATAAAATGCATCAATTAATAAATAGATTAGAAAATACTACAACAAGGCACAATTACAAAGAAATACCTAAATTGTGGGGAGAAAATACATTATGGTTCTTACCTTGTAATCATGAAGAATTCTTTTTCAAACATAACTCATTTTGAAACTAAAAAAAAGACTTCCTCTAAAAAGCTTAAAGCAAACTTTGGGACAAACCCTCTCTTGTAAATTAACAAAACACTCAAGGTAAACTCTTTTGGTTAATCTTCTCATTGAAGCCACACTTAAATTATTTTATCTGCCGGTCTTAATCCCTCTGGGAGTCTTTGTAATCCTCCACTAGAATTGAAAATAACACAATTTACCAAAGACTCCTTAACACTTGAATGAAGAACAATGGATTATTTCACCTTAACATGCATTAGTCTGATGACACACACAAACATAGAGGATCTCATGTGGTTTATTTTCATCCAGAATACCCAACTTAGGTGTTTAAACAGAGTGTTAACAGCCAAAATCAAATGTTAAAAGGATTTATTTGCATAATGCTAAGCTATTTTTAATTCCATTCCTTTGGAAATGCGTTCTATTTTACAAAGTCTTGGGGTGAAGTATTTGGAATGTTCTGTAGTATTAAGCAATGACTTAATGGCAGCTATAAATTAAGCATGTTATCCGTTTGGGATTTTCTGTTCGGTAATAAAATTATTTAATTTCGCGTAGAAAACTACAAAATTAAAAGTTTTAAATATTCAGGGTTGTTTCCTTTGTCATTGTGTCTACCTAGTGAGGGACAGCCGGCAAATAGAGCTGCACGAAAACCGAGATATGATTGGCGGAAAGATTCCGCGCCTGTATATGATTGGTTATCAAGAGAGCAACAGTCAGTCAGAGAAAAGATCTTCTTAAAGAGGTGCAACTGTCGGATAGGACTCAGATATATGGCTTAGATGTAAGTTGTGTAAGATGTAAATTAATGTAAGGTGTGTTTTCAAACTACAATAATCTCACCTATCAAAGTAATAACACGCCATAACATTGCAACGGTCTAGTTTGTTTGCCTCTACATAGGGCCTAGGGTGGACTACAGAAGACTCCACAATGCATCACGTAGGTCGAAGCTCTTCGTATGTGTCAGTAACGTTGACATCACTGTGAGTTTTTTTTAAAAAAAAGCTGTGAAGCTGTTGAAGCTGTAGTTATTTACAAAATCTGACCACCAGGCTGTGCTCTTTCATAAATTATCATAAAGTTCTCACGACATTGTTTTACTGTCCCGTATTCTAGGCTCAGCGTCAGTGCAGTCATTAATGAAGGAAAATCTGTGCATTACAATCAAAAATGAATATAACAGAAAGAAGGGGAGTTGTGAAAAGCACTTGTTTACAGTCTGCTCAGGTGAATGTGACATGCTTTCAGCTTTTCACTGAAGAAATACAAAACATGACACTCACAACACAGATCTTCCTTCTCTGTCTATGGCAAACTATCTCCTTTTCAAAGAAAGGATGGTCATGGGAGTGTTTGAAGAAAAATGAGCTGTTTGAGGGATAAAGACCCAGACTCCTGTGGATTGAGTTGTTTGTTTGAGGATTATGAGGGTGTTAACCTCCAGAGCTAAAGTCCTGGTGAGTTGAGCTCAGGCATCTTGAGGATCAGGAATCAACTCAGAGTGACAGACAGGTTAGGTCCACAAACTAGACAGGAAAACATTTCTGAGACAAAAAAAATCGAATTAATATAAATAAATGCTTTTAGATTTTTCCCCAGACGCCAGCCTTGAGATAATATCTGAAGGGTAAAAAAAACCCCCAAAAAACCAAAAACAAACAAACAACCGTAGTAGTTTTTTAGGTATGGTACTTAATCATACAAATTATAAACTTCACAAAGTAAATAGAAGTCTATGACTCCATGGTCTGATTCTCTAAGTACAAAGCTTCAGGCACATTTTCAGATGGAGTTTACAAACACATGTAAACACCAAGTCATTAATGGGTGCTCATGTCATATGAAGCCTTGCTACTTGCAAAATGTTCTATATTGTTACTTTGAACTCATAAACTAATGTAAAGAGTTCTGAAGGCCTCCATTTTCAAGTTAATATGTGGAGCTATACAATAAACTGGTCCTCTGTGGTTGTTGTTTGATTTTAAAATCTTATGAAACCTATAAAAAATATTCAGTTTACTCCCTTTTTGCTCACCAGATCACCACAGTGTTTTTAAACAATATATTGATAACTTCACACCAATTAAACATTAGTTGTTAAGAAGAAAATGTATTCTGATATATTGTATTGCATTTGATTATGTAAATATATTTTGGATAAAAATGGACATGAGCAGATGCAACCTACTGATAATTTATTTGATAAATACTGAAACCTGACTGTTTTCACAGTTCAGCAGTCACACCTGAGTTTCAAGGAGGAAGTGAAAAACTGAAAAGCAGTTATTTTACTTACAGTAAAGTCTCTATGACACATTGAGAGAGATTTTATTCAAATATGTTTGATGGTTTACTTTCAACACATTGACCCCAATCTTCAGTTAACTCCACCATTTTGACAACGTGGTTATAGTTGTGCTGAGTGATTGAAGATTTGTTTTCTTTTCTTAATATTTTTGAAATATTACATGAAATACAAAAACAATACAAATTTAATTAGAATAGAAATATAAGATAGACAAGGGGAAGAAGAACATGAATATAAAGCAGCAGGGTAAAATTTAAAAGGTTGAGAAAAGTAGTCATATTGCAAATAGTAATTAAAATAAAATGGAAAATATTGGAGATGTCAATATAATTTTAAAAAAGGGTACTTTAAAGATGTGTGACAGGAAGAAAAAACAAAAACAACGCTGTACTGTATAATGTTACAGTAATACTAGTCATCCACACCAAGGGTGGCGCTGTTGTTACATCTGTACTTTGACTTACGGTCAAAGTTGAAGTCGCCCGTCGATGATATTCCGGTTTATGAGGTAAGAGACGTCAGGGAAATTTTAATGTTTTAAATCAGTTGTTTGTTAGCAGAGTTTTAAAAATTCAATGCATATTTATATTTTTTGGAAACAAGTTTATATTTGCAGTTTACGCATTTCTATGTTTTTAAACGGTGTGTATGAAGAAATATGTCAGAAGCTAACGACATGCTAAGATTAAGCAGTGCGGCTCACCAACCTATTTTCATCAGAGTTTTTTTTTTATTATCATTAACTCATGACAGTAAAATATAAACGAATGGTCCAATGTTTTAACTCGTGTCGCAATCATAATATCAGGGCAGAATCATGAAGGACATACACCCACATGCAGTATATATTTGTCTATGTTTTGCCCAACATAAAATACTTTTATGGTAAATTTATATATAGTTGAATCAATGTCCCAGTTCAATAGGCTGAGGTCGAGATGGCAAAGGATCTTAGGGTTTTAACGGTTGTAATCAGAAAAGCTAACCAAGGTTGAACTGTTTGGAAGTAAAGTTAGAAAGGTAATGTTAAGATGGGTTGGACACGTACTTAGTGAGAATAGTGGATATAGTGGACAAAGGATGTTAAAGATAGAGCTCCCAGGCTTTGTGCTAGGCTGTAAAAAAAACATTTTGGTTGTGTGAAACATTTTGCTCTAGGTAAGGTGTTGTCCTTTCAGTCCATGTTCTTTTCATGTGTCATTGCCACAGTCTAGTTACCAGCTGAAACGTGATGTGTCCAGAGCGGCAGACATGGCAGCCATATTCAGGCACCAGGGCCATGGCCAGCACTGTCTCTCTTCAGCACCTCCTGCAGAACATCAGGCCTCCTGCCTTTCTCTTCTCTCTCCCAAAGGTCTATGCAGCTGAGGCGGCAGCTGCCCATACAACACAGAGACTTTCCTCCCCCTCAGGCACTGCTGCTTCTGCAGAAAACCTCTCGCAACACTGTCTGCCTAAAATCATAGGCCAACCTGAATTCCCAGACACTGGATGGGACCGTTTAAAGGAACTTTTTACCAAAGAGTTTGTGATTCTTGATTATTCTTTCTTTTCTTAAAAACTAACTAAAATATTTGAAGCATCTAATCAAAACTAGAGGAAACCAAAATTTAAAAGTCACTCTGTCATTTTGACATTTGCGCTGATACTGTGTCGTTCTACTTGCAGTGAGTTCAAGAGGTACCCAGAGGAGATAAGCAATGTGATTAAGAGCGGGTTGGTTGCAGCATTAGCAGGCATGATCTATGGAGGATTACCTGCTGGATTTCACGCCAGACAAAACTACATCCAAAAAAACCAGGCCGAGATCTACACCTGCAATGTGGATGCTGTGGTAAAGCATTTCAATTAAGGTTTAAGTGGGACAGTATCTGGACAAACATGGACCAAAAGTGAAGTCTAAGTTAAATATGTCACAATTAGTAAATATCATGAAAAAATTATTAAGTGCTACGATTGTTTTTTTTTTTGTGTGTGTTTTTTTTTCATCGTACCGTTGATCATACAGGTGACATACCTGTTGTATTTTTGAACTTTCAGCGCTCAGCACATAATGCTGCAATCAGGGGATTTATAAGATACGGCTTTCGGTGGAGCTGGAGAGTAGCTGCTTTTGTTACCTTATTCAAGTATGTTTCATTCTTTAAAAAACAAACAAAGAAAAAGCAAAACAGTATTTCAATGTTTATGCCTCGTTCATAATTTTGTGACTTTTGTTTCAGTTCTATCAGCATTGGACTAGAGGTCTACAGAGACAAGGTATCTCTTAGTAACTACGCTGCAGCTGGAGGTCAGTCACATGACAGCTATATATTTTATCTTAAAAGTTATATTTTGGCTGTTTTTAAGTTCCTTTTTTACCTAACCTTTTGCTTTCTTTGACTTTTTAAAATTTCTTAAATAAAATATCTACTACTTTTTTCTTTTTTAAAGCTATTTGGTGTTGACTTGTTCGATTCTCCTGGATAATTTTGGCTAACCTATAACTTTAAACTTTTGTTTACTTTTCCTTTAACACTGAGCAAAAAATGTTTGATATTTGATAGTAATTTAAATAACTACTGTATTGATGGCTTCATAGTTAGGGCCAATTTGAAATGATTGTAGCGAGGTTATACAGAACCGTTACTGAGCAAAATTGTTACATTTGTTAGTTTGGGTGGTAAAATGTTTGTGTGTGTGTGTGAACAGCTGTTACTGCTGGTCTGTTCAGACTGAACCTGGGTCTACGAGGTCTGGTGGCAGGAACAGTCATTGGAACATTTTTAGGGTAAGGTAACATCCTGACATCTTACACAAGCCCAAATGAATTAATTTATCGTCCACTTGTACCTTTTTGTTAGGACTCTGGGGTCTGGAATGGCATTGAGCCTATCCCAGCAGTCCATGGGGCTCGGACACCCAACTATTCACATTTATACCCATGTTCAGATTAGAATCTGAATGTAAATAGACTCTAAGTGTAAATCAAACGTCATCAAGGGGTGAAAAGGGACAACTCTCAACTTAAAGTTTGTAATATAAACAGAAAAACGCTTTGCCCGGATATAGCTGATAGTTGGCCAAAACTGGAGCTAATTTGTTAGTTTTTTGTCTAGTAGGAATGTAAATGTCTGAAAAAGTCACTCTTAGTTCTCTACAATTAGTGAAACTTTAACTAAATAATTTATCAATCTGCAGAAGTTTTACTCTCTTACCTCTAACCATTTTGTTCTTTCTGTGACAATGTTAATGCAGTTATGACTGTAGTGCAATTCTACGTTTGTTTTCTAGACTTCCTACTGGTGCTCTGATCCTCAGCCTGCAGTCTTTGTCTGGAGAAAGTGTCAGAGAGAGAAGGAAGAGGGAGCGCCGGGAACTGTATGAGCAACGTCTGGCAGAATGGTAGAGTTCATTTTTCTTTCTGTCATTACACTCGGTCACAGAACACAAAAGACTTTACTCAGAATGTTGCTTTTTTGTGTACTAGGACTGAGAATTTGCAACTCACAGACGAGCTGATAGGAAACCTGGACGACAGAACTCACAATGAGGAAACATCCAAGGACATAAGGAGGATTCAGGAACTGCTTACTTCACCAGAGAATACGAATGAGAGGTGAAAGGTCACTCTGTTGGACATTCAGATATATTAAAAAAAAAGATTACTAGTGACCCTAAGCTTAATAATAAAGTTTATACTGTAAATGGAAACAGTCCATCTTTACAAAGACAAAAATACATGCGGTTAAATACGGTATACTGAAGTATTTTGTCTGTTTAATTGGCCAAGTTTGTTAAATTTACACACCCGTTGTTGTATATTTGTCAAATTGCAAGTAATGTTTAATATGTGAAGTGAGTACAAATTAACTTTTGTCCAGTGCTGTACAAACTGTTTATTATAAATATACAAAAACCCCAAACATTTCTGTTGTGGCGTTGTTTGTATTTATCATACATCTAAATTTATAATGTGTCAAACTACATTTACAAACGGTTCTTTATAAATGACACTGCAAAACATTTAACCCTCAACATCACCATCCACAACAGAGCAGAAGAATAGCAAAGCTAAGTTTCATTTCATTAGTGTGGAATTTTAACAACTAGTCAAGTGTTCAGGAGTATAATATATATAAATATATGACGATATACAGTATATATATAAATACAAGTTTTTTCTGCCAAAATGACTTATTTTTCTCCATCCACCTGCTACATCGCTAAAAGCAATATGATACACCATCGACTCCACTTTACGTCTGTCCGAAACCAACAGGGGGCACCATTGTTTAATAGTTCCCTGAGTAGAAGCCATAAGATAAATACAGTACAAATAAATGAACAATTCGATTAATATAACAAATTTGACAAAAAATCATTTTGTTTAAATTACACAATATAATCTAATATGTTGTGAAATCAACATCCGATAGTGTCATGTATCTTGTCAGTATCTCACATACTTTATGTATACATTACATGTCAGGGGACTGATGAAATTAGTGTAGCTTAATGACACATTACTACACATAATGGGATTGTAGTTTTTAAATTTGAATTGTTCTTGATCTACTAGCTTTCCTGGTGCAATCTACTGGTAGGTGGTGATCTACTTACTGGACACCCTTATCTTAGACAATATAATAATAATATTAATAATAATAATAATAATGTAAAGTTTTCTGCTTAGTTAACACTCGTCCTAATCTGTCCCTATGACCTGCTCATTTCGAATTGTCTAATTTTAAAGTGTATATTATATGTACAACACATTTTACTTGATGTGCAGATAAAACCAAAAGTTTTTGATGAATGGAAACTGTTCCACAAAGGGAAACTGTTAGGTTGGAACCAAAACCACCTGATTGATTGGTCAGTCACTGTGCTCTGGATAGGTTGGAACCAAAACCTGCAGCCACAGTGGCAGTTTGCCACCCCTGGACTAAAAACTCTTCATCACTGATAGATTTCACAGTGAAAGATCATTATTTTTGAAGTACTGTTTAATAAGTATAAGTTATAATTTAATGTTTTTCTAATTATATGTGTTCTTTTCATTAGAATAACTTTACAGACACAGTTGAACCAGTTGATCAAATGACTGCAGTGTGTCTTCAGTAACAGTATCAGTCTGACTTCAGTTCCTGTTCAGTCTGACTGAGGGAGGTTTTTGTACGAGGCTTTTTCACTGTGTGAACACATATTGACTGTTGATGTAGTGAA